CATGCTTCTTTGTTCTGGCCCTGTCCCCAACTTCCTCAATCGCCATCTTGCCCTGGCTGCCTACACCCTTCTACATCTCCCTCATAAATGAACATAAAGAATAGTTTCCAGAATATAAAGATGTAGAAAGGCCACTCGGTGACCATGTTTGGAATGACGTAGAGACAAAACCACTTGGCAACTACATGAACAATAAAACATCTTCCACTTCTGACCGAACCAAGTGACTTGAGTTGGTAAAAGCAATGACAATTTTAGTCTTGCTTTAATCCTCTGACCTCTTAGATTGAAATTACTAAAATATCCAGCCACTGAATTGGCCCAGTTTATTGACAACTTTACATCCCAACTAATCCCTAGTTCTTTAACTTTTCTTGGAATAATCCAGCACACAAGCCAAATACTGTGAGCAGCCGCTTCCAGTGTCCTCTTGCTCAGCCTCTGGAGTACTTAGTAATTACTTGGAAGCAGATTGTCTATAATTGCAAGCACATATTCAATCACACCAATCATCAAACACAAACAATTAATGCAAAAAGTGTTGGTTATGCTGGAGCACTCCAATTAATGTATACTAATTAAACACAACAAGCAGCAAATCACACAATCCTAGGGAAACCACAAGCCCTAAAGTACCTCCGATGCCATGCAACTTCTCTTAGCTGAAGAGCTGAAGTTGTTGTTTTTTGGTGGTTCTCTCCAGCCGAAGGTTGGATGTCAGGGAATGGTGGGTTGGTCTGGGGACTGACAGCAAGGTGGCCAGTCTTACTGCTGTCCTCAGAGCAAAGCTCTTTGATGTCACAGGACAAGCAGTTTACATACAGTTCCAAGTTGTGCTCATTATTATCACACTCCAGTGTTGTTCTGTCTCTAGATGGTGGTCCTTATCAATTGTGTCCAGTCATGACTAAGCATGTCTGTGGCTGCTGTTCCTTACAGCCAGCAACTTAGTGAGTGCAGCATGTCCCAGCAAGTCTATGGCAGATGCTCCCTACAAGAGGTAAATCAACGATATTTTACTATAGATATTGTTTCTGGTGGCCTTCAATTGGTGGTTTTGAAACAATCTATTTTGAGAGTTTATTTTTCATTTGATTTTCCTCTTTTGGGGAACACTTTTCCATTTTTAATGGGTAGATCTGTAAATTTCCCTTTTGTTTGTGAGTCAATTTTATTTTTTACCTTCCACATTCTTCTCTAGGAGCCATAAGTATTACTTCTTAGTCAGAAGAGATTAAAAAATAAGAGTTCCCATTTAGGTTAGATCACTCCGAGTTTGATGACATTAGCAAGAATTTTCAGGTTTTTGTTAATTCACCAATGAGGCTACAGGTGATGAGGTTGGGGGTAGTTTCTGAGCTAAATTGGATCTATTTGGTAGAGACTCTTCAGGATCTTTCTTTCTTTTTTCTTTTTCTTTTATTTTTTATTCTAATTTGTTATATATGGCTTCTGCTTCTTTCTTGACCACCAAATCTAGTTTACTGAGGTTGAGAAGGGTGTGTGTGTGTGTGTGTGTGTGTGTGTGTGTGTGTGTGTGT